CGCAGAAATTGTTCGTGACTGGCCATCATGCTCATGAACAACTTTTTTGCCCCGAGCAAGCAAGCCAAATTGAGATTCATTTTACGAGCACGTGCTCAAGTGATGTGATATTACAGGTAACATGCTGCTATGGTTTGAAATCAGCTATTTAAAACGCTTACAGGTACAAGCACCGAATGGTGAACTCAGCAATTACCTCTATCCAGCAAGGAATCAAACAGTCTTTTTCAACCCTACAAAGGTGATTTTACAGCATTAAAGAAATCTAGTGCGTTTTCGGCCTAGTTCACGTCGTTTTTCACAGCAAAGAAAATTCAAAAAAACCAGAAGTTTTGGCAAACCATTACATGTTGGTAGATACGAATTACATACATTTCAAAGAAGAGGTCTTTCTCACCAAAATGTCCATGAACTATTTGCTGACTTCGCTTTTGTTAACTGAAAGAGTTGAAATCAAAGAATTGAAGGCTAAAAAAGCACAATAAAGGGCTTTATTATTTGGAATGCGTGAAGCTCGGAAAATGGCTACCTAATGAGCATGGCGATGGAAAATTTATTCCGGAGGGAGCGAGAGAGGAAAGTCGTCGAAAAGGGGCGGTTTAAAGCGAGGCCAAGCCACCCCTTTTTGGTCGGAGCAGTGTAAAATCCTTTTTTCTGCTATCTCAAAAATAATGCAGTAAAGTTAGATTTTGCTATTTCACTCCATTCACTTTGTTCGCTTTTCAAATGCGATCCAGTCTAGAGAGGGGAAAGGAAGGAGGGATGAAAAGGGAAAAGGTCTACTTGGGTCGGACGTGCTGAAGACGAATCACACCCGTACCGTAAATGTCTTCACTGCAGAATTAGAATAGATATATGAAGGAAAGGTCAAAATCAGCAATTTGCCTGAAAAAGAAAATGTTAATAATTTTTGTGCGCCTTGTGTAAAAGGGTTTTCCTGGGAAGTTTTTTAGTCAATATCAATCCAAGTGGACCATTCAGGCAAATTGGGATTTTGGCTCCTGGTGCGTACACTACTTGTAGCCCTACAGTAAAGTCTTGTCGTAAAGATTGAATGGATTTTCGTAGTCCGCAGTTCCATTCACTCCAATACGTAGCGTTATAGCATTTTCCAAGCTTCTCGCATGCCAGAAAATTAGACTGGCTGAGCTTTTTC